CTCTCGCGTAAAACTCTTATCACAAACGTCACAGCTGAACGGTTTTTCTCCAGTGTGTATTCTGCTGTGGCTCTTGAGATCTCCTTTTGTAGTAAAACATGTTCCACACTGATCACACTCGTATGGTTTTTCTCCAGTGTGGATTCTGCTGTGGCTCTTGAGATGTTGTTTTCTAGAAAAACATGTTCCACACTGATCACACTTATGCGGCTTCTCTCCAGTGTGGCTCCAATGGTGAACTGTGCGATGTGTTGCAGTTCTAAAAGTTTTACTGCAGAGGTCACATGCAAATGGTTTTTCTCCAGTGTGGATTTTCTCATGTCTTTTGTAGTTTGAAAACACAGTAAAAGTCTTCCCACACTCTCCACAGACGAATGGTTTTTCTCCAGTGTGGATTCTGTAGTGCTCCGTGAGGTTTGATAATTGTGTAAAAGCCTTTTCACACTGGTCACATTGGTGAGGTCTCGCTCCTGTGTGGACACGCTGATGTAGTGAGAGCTTCCCTTTGATCCTAAATGTTTTTCCACACTGGTCACAGTGAAATGGTTTCTCTCCTGTGTGGATCCTCTGATGATCTTTGAGATAAACCTCTCGCGTAAAACTCTGATCACAAACGTCACAGCTGAACGGTTTTTCTCCCGTATGGATTCTGCTGTGGACCTTAAGACTTCGTTTGGTAGTAAAACATGTTCCACACTGATCACACTCGTATGGTTTTTCTCCAGTGTGGCTCCGATGGTGAACTGTGCGAACTGATGCAGTTCTAAAAGTTTTACTGCAGAGGTCACATGCAAATGGTTTTTCTCCAGTGTGGATCCTCTGATGCACTTTGAGAGAACCACTCTGAGTAAAACTCTGATCACAAACGTCGCAGCTGAAGGGTTTTTCTCCAGTGTGTATTCTGTAGTGGGTCTTTAGATTAGAAGCAGAGCTGTAGGTCTTTCCACACTGATCACAGGTGAACCTCATTCTGTAGATGGACTTTGTAGATCTGCAACAAACACAACAAAGACATGTTATGAATATATATATGAATACAAACGTTTCTTAAGCTGAAAATACAACCTACGTGTATTTTTGCTACAGTGACGTGTATTTGGACAAAAAAAAAAATGCAGCTTTCAATTACATTCCCAATTTTGAAAAAGAATTACAAAAAACCTAAATTAAAGTTGTGTAAACATTAATATGATAAAAAAATAATAATGTATAGGTTTACTTTCACAAAATTACATTATATTACATTACATTTTCATCCCTTTAATCATCCATTTCGGGTCAAGGGGATTCAGAGCTGCCGCCCCCCACTTTCACAAAATAAGAAGATAAAAGAATAAGAACAAGTGAGCCCACACAGAGTCAGGAGAACAACCCTGCTTCAGGCCGGACTCAGAGGATGGGACAGAGAAAGGAAGTGATAGAGGGAGGGGTGAGAGGGAGACGAGGGAAAGAGGTGGAGAGTGGAGGCTCAGAGAGGAAGGACAGATGGAAGAGGAGAGAGGAGGGAGTGTGTCAGGACAGACCACAAACGTTTTCCTGGAGCCAGAGCACAGAGCAGAGAGCACAGAGCAGAGAGCACAGAGCAGAGTCATGCTGTGAGAAGATAGCTCACAGCATCTCTGTGAACTTTTTTTTTTTAAACAATGCTCTGGGAAACGGCAGGAAGTCCTAAGTCGCTCTGAAACAGTTGTTTTGTGCTTTACTATTTTTATTTCTCTTGCTTTTTTTGATTCCTTGATTTTTCTCCAAAATCCACTGGAGGAATGCTAACTTTTTGGAAAATGCTAATGAAGATCCCGCAGCAGCAAAAAAGGCCGTGGAAAATCATCAACCAGGGGAAAAGAGCAAGTAAGATCTGGATTGAGTTTAAGTGACATATATGCACTCTTTCAAATAGATGGAACAGTCTAAGACAAAAGGAAATACTTCTTATTTAGTTCATAGGCCCAGACCTTTATTAGGCCCGAGCCCCGAACGGGGTAAGGGCCTATTGCTTTCACAATGGTGAAAACAAATGGTGGCGGTGCGTGACGGACGCGTCAGCGCCCGTCACTCACCAAAATGTGACAGTTGCGTGCGTAAACTCAAAAGCTTTAAAATGATGTATCACATGCCATTGAAACCTATATTGTTTTTGCTCGAGACGTTAAAAAAAAAATTCCTTTTTTATTAGGCCCGAGCCCCGAACGGGGTAAGGGCCTATTGCTTTCACAATGGTGAAAACAAATGGTGGCGGTGCGTGACGGACGCGTCAGCGCCCGTCACTCACCAAAACGTGACGGTTGCGTGCGTAAACTCGAACACTTTAAAATGATGTATCACGTGCCATTGAAACCTATATTGTTTTTGCTCGAGACGTCGAAAAAAAAATTCCTTTTTTATTTTTCTTTCTTTCTTTCTTTCTTTCTTTCTTTTTTCTTCTGCACTTTGAGCCTTAATTTGACCCCCTGAACATGCATGAAAAGTTGTTAAATTTTGCCCAAAAATCAGACCTGGCGAAAAATTTGATATTTTGGTGTTTATTTTTATGGGACTCAAAAAATGCCAGAACAGCGCCACCTACAACAGCCAAAATAATACCCCTATGGGAGTTCTGAGGATCAAGTTTGTTGTAGAGTCATGAAATTCGGTACACATGTTCCGCAAGTCAAGACAAGAAAAAAATATTATTATGGCTCCGCCCTCTGACAAACAGGAAGCCCATAAATTTCACTGCAAAATGGAAAAATGAACAGCAAAAGTATTCATACATGTCGGTTGGAAAGCGACTCCTCCTCGGCCGTTTCACCGATTCGCCTCAAAATCGCTCCACATCATCTCAACACATGTACCTTCAAAATGACCTCAGGGATTTTTGATCAGTGAAACATTGTTTGAGCAGCGGAGCGGCAAAATGTGACCTTTTTTGGCCGTTTTTGACAACATTAAATTTGCTCCCGTTTGCACAAACAAAGTCTGATTTGCAAAAAACATTAATACATTGTTCAACTCTAGGGTCTAGGTCGTTTTAAAGTGAATTAATTCAAATTGACACATTAGCGCCCCCTACAGACTATTTCAAAGTTTTAGATGGGCATTTTCAAATTTAGTTTTTTCAAAATGTTTGAAATTTTGCACATAAATCTGTTTTGCCCTCTTGATTCAAAAAGTCAATTGGGTCCAAGGTTTATTTTTTACCCTGTTGCCGTGGCGACGAGAAACGCTCCCCATTCATTGCAAATGTACACCTCACACAAACATCAAACCAGCCTCGGCTGTTTCACCGATTCGCCTCAAAATCGCTCCACATCATCTCAACACATGTACCTTCAAAATGACTTCAGGGAATTTTGATCCGTGAAACGCTGTTTGAGCAGCGGAGCGGCAAAATGTAAGGGTTTTTTTGGCTCTTTTTGACAACATTAATTTTGCTCCTGTTTGCACAAACAAAGTCTGATTTGCACAAAACTTTCATCCATTGTTCAATTCCAGGGTTTAGGTCAGGTTAAAGTGAAATATTGGAAATCGGCCCCTTAGCGCCCCCTACAGACTGTGTCAAAGTTTACATGGGGAGCCAAACCAGCTCTACTTATCATATTCATTACAATTTGACTAACATTCTTCTATGGCTACGGAAACAAATCATCACACGGCGGTGCTACCTCCTTTTAGCGGTGCTGCGTGGTACGGTGTGGTGCGGCGTAGTGCGGGGCGTTGTGGAGCGGCGCGTTGCGGCTTGGTGCGGGGCGGCGTGGTGCGGGGAGTGCGCGCGGTGCAGGGAGTTGCGCGGTGCGGCGAGGGCCGTTCGACGCCGCTTGCGGCTTTAATTATACTTGTTCTAGCCCAGGAAAACCTGGGAAAGAACAAGTTTGCTGTTGTTTGATGTCATATTTGACCCACTGAACATGCACGAAAACTTACAAAATTTTGCCACAAGTTCTGTTCTTGCAAACACTTTATTAATTTTGTGTTTCCTAGTATGAGACTACAAATTTGATATTGTAGGGGGCGCAATTGTAGTCCAATAAAGCCACCGTTTGCACATACAAAGTCCGATTTGCACCAAATTTGAATCGGTTGTTCAACTTTTGGGTTTGGGTAAACTGAAAGTGTAAAACATCAAATTGCAGCAGTAGCGCCCCCTACAGAATGTCATTTTCACAGATGTTGGTTGGAAAGCGACTCCTCCTTAGCCGTTTCACCGATTTGCCTTAAAATTGCTCCACATGGTCTAAACACATGTACCATCATTTTGATTTCAGCGAATTTTGATCAGTGAAACGTTGTTTGAGCAGCGAAGCGCCAAAAAGTGGCGTTTTTTTTTCAGTTTTTGACAATAGAAAAATTACTTCCGTTTACTCAAACAAAGTCCGATTTGCACAAAACTTGTTTCCATGGTTAAACTCTAGGGTGTAGGTCATTTGAATGTGAAATAATTCAAATGCCAGAACAGCGCCCCCTACAACAGCCAATTATATACTCCTATGAGAGTTTTTGAGGTCAAGTTTGTTGTAGAGCCATGAAATTTGGTACACATATTCCACAAGGTAAGACATGAAATTAGTTTTATTATGGCCCCGCCCTCTGACAAACAGGCGGCCCATAAATTTCACTGCAAAATGGATAAATGAACAGCAATAATTTTCACACATGTCGTTTGGAAAGCGACTCCTCCTCAGCCGTTTCACAGATTGGCCTGAAAATCGCTCCAGATCGTCTCAACACATGTACCTTCAAAATGACTTCAGGGAATTTTTATCAGTGAAACAATGTTCGAGCATCGGAGCGGCAAATAGTGACCTTTTTTGGCTATATAAAAATAGCTCTCGTTTGAACAAACAAAGTTTGATTTGTACTTAACTTGACCCGATTGTTCTACTTCTGGGCCTGGGTCACCTGAAAGTGTGTACAATATTACATTGGCTCTTTAGCGCCCCCTACATACCGAGCTAAAGCTTTACATGGGGAGCCACACCGACGGATCAATTTCACAAACATTGTTCTATGGCTACGATAGCAAATCATGGCGCGGCGGAGCGGCGAGTCACGCGGGGAGTCACGGGGAGGGGAATCGCGAGTTGAGGCGAGTTGCGCGGTGCGGGGAGTCGTAGCAGTGCGGGGAGTCGTAGCGGCACGCAGTGCGGGAAGTTGTAGCGGAGCGGGAAGTCGTTGCGGAGCGGGGAGTCGTAGCGGTGGGCGAGCCGTAGCGGTGCGGGGAGTCGTAGCGGAGCGGGCAGTCGTAGCGGCGCGCGTTGCGGGGAGACGTAGCGGTGCGGAGAGTCGTAGCGGAGCGCGGTGCGGAGAGTCGCAGCGGAGCGCGGTGCGCAGCGGACGGGGAGTCGCAGCGGAGCGGGGAGTCGCAGCGGAGCGGGGAGTCGCAGCGGAGCGCGGTGCGGGGAGTTGTAGCGGAGCGCGGTGCGGGGAGTCGCAGCGGAGCGGGGAGTCGCAGCGGAGCGGGGAGTCGCAGCGGAGCGGGGACTCGCAGCGGAGCGGGGACTCGCAGCGGAGCGGGGACTCGCAGCGGAGCGGGGAGTCGCAGCGGAGCGGGGAGTCGCAGCGGAGCGGGGAGTCGCAGCGGAGCGGGGAGTCGCAGCGGAGCGGGGAGTCGCAGCGGAGCGGGGAGTCGCAGCGGAGCGGGGACTCGCAGCGGAGCGGGGACTCGCAGCGGAGCGGGGACTCGCAGCGGAGCGGGGACTCGCAGCGGAGCGGGGAGTCGTAGCGGTGGGCGAGCCGTAGCGGTGCGGGGAGTCGTAGCGGAGCGGGCAGTCGTAGCGGCGCGCGTTGCGGGGAGACGTAGCGGTGCGGAGAGTCGTAGCGGAGCGCGGTGCGGAGAGTCGCAGCGGAGCGCGGTGCGCAGCGGAGCGGGGAGTCGCAGCGGAGCGGGGAGTCGCAGCGGAGCGGGGACTCGCAGCGGAGCGCGGTGCGGGGAGTTGTAGCGGAGCGCGGTGCGGGGAGTCGCAGCGGAGCGGGGAGTCGCAGCGGAGCGGGGAGTCGCAGCGGAGCGGGGACTCGCAGCGGAGCGGGGACTCGCAGCGGAGCGGGGACTCGCAGCGGAGCGGGGACTCGCAGCGGAGCGGGGACTCGCAGCGGAGCGGGGAGTCGCAGCGGAGCGGGGAGTCGCAGCGGAGCGGGGAGTCGCAGCGGAGCGGGGAGTCGCAGCGGAGCGGGGAGTCGCAGCGGAGCGGGGACTCGCAGCGGAGCGGGGACTCGCAGCGGAGCGGGGACTCGCAGCGGAGCGGGGACTCGCAGCGGAGCGGGGACTCGCAGCGGAGCGGGGAGTTGCAGCGGAGCGGGGAGTCGCAGCGGAGCGGGGAGTTGCAGCGGAGCGGGGAGTCGCAGCGGAGCGGGGAGTTGCAGCGGAGCGGGGACTCGCAGCGGAGCGGGGACTCGCAGCGGAGCGGGGACTCGCAGCGGAGCGGGGAGTCGTAGCGGTGGGCGAACCGTAGCGGTGCGGGGAGTCGTAGCGGAGCGGGCAGTCGTAGCGGCGCGCGTTGCGGGGAGACGTAGCGGTGCGGGGAGTCGTAGCGGAGCGCGGTGCGGAGAGTCGCAGCGGAGCGCGGTGCGCAGCGGAGCGGGGAGTCGCAGCGGAGCGGGGAGTCGCAGCGGAGCGGGGAGTCGCAGCGGAGCGGGGACTCGCAGCGGAGCGCGGTGCGGGGAGTTGTAGCGGAGCGCGGTGCGGGGAGTCGCAGCGGAGCGGGGAGTCGCAGCGGAGCGGGGAGTCGCAACGGAGCGGGGAGTCGCAGCGGAGCGGGGACTCGCAGCGGAGCGGGGACTCGCAGCGGAGCGGGGACTCGCAGCGGAGCGGGGAGTCGCAGCGGAGCGGGGAGTCGCAGCGGAGCGGGGAGTCGCAGCGGAGCGGGGAGTCGCAGCGGAGCGGGGAGTCGCAGCGGAGCGGGGACTCGCAGCGTAGCGGGGAGTCGCAGCGGAGCGGGGAGTCGCAACGGAGCGGGGAGTCGCAGCGGAGCGGGGACTCGCAGCGGAGCGGGGACTCGCAGCGGAGCGGGGACTCGCAGCGGAGCGGGGAGTCGCAGCGGAGCGGGGAGTCGCAGCGGAGCGGGGAGTCGCAGCGGAGCGGGGAGTCGCAGCGGAGCGGGGAGTCGCAGCGGAGCGGGGACTCGCAGCGTAGCGGGGAGTCGCAGCGGAGCGGGGAGTTGCAGCGGAGCGGGGAGTCGCAGCGGAGCGGGGACTCGCAGCGGAGCGGGGAGTCGCAGCGGAGCGGGGACTCGCAGTGGAGCGGGGACTCGCAGTGGAACGGGGAGTCGCAGCGGAGCGGGGAGTCGTAGCGGAGCGGGGACTCGCAGCGGAGCGGTGCGGGGAGTCGCAGCGGAGCGGGGAGTCGCAGCGTAGCGGAGTCGTAGCGGAGCGGGGAGTCGCAGCGGAGCGGGGACTCGTAGCGGAGCGGGGGGTCGCGCGGTGCGGGGAGTCGCGCGGTGCGGCGAGGGCCGTTCGACGTTGCTTGCGGCTTTAATTTATTTATTTATTTCTTTCTTTCTTTCTTTCTTTTTTCTTCTGCACTTTGAGCCTTAATTTGACCCCCTGAACATGCATGAAAAGTTGTTAAATTTTGCCCAAAAATCAGACCTGGCGAAAAATTTGATATTTTGGTGTTTATTTTAATGGGACTCAAAAAATGCCAGAACAGCGCCACCTACAACAGCCAAAATAATACCCCTATGAGACTTTTAGAGATCAAGTTTGTCGTAGAGCCATGAAATTTGGTACACATGTTCCTATAGTCAAGACAAGAAAAAAATATTATTATGGCCCCACCCCCTGACAAACAGGAAGCCCATAAATTTCACTGCAAAATGGAAAAATGAACAGCAAAAGTTTTCATACATGTCGGTTGGAAAGCGACTCCTCATCGGCCATTTCACCGATTCGCCTCAAAATCGCTCCACATCATCTCAACACATGTACCTTCAAAATGACCTCAGGGATTTTTGATCAGTGAAACATTGTTCGAGCAGCGGAGCGGCAAAATGTGACCTTTTTTTGGCCGTTTTTGACAACATTCAATTTGCTCCCGTTTGCACAGACAAAGTCCGATTAGCACAAAACTTTAATACATTGTTCAGCTCTAGGGTCTAGGTCATTTGAAAGTTAAATGATTCCAATTGACTCATTAGCGCCCCCTACAGACTATTTCAAAGTTTTAGATGGGCATTTTCAAATTTAGTTTTTTCAAAATGTTTGAAATTTTGCACAAAAATCTTTTTTGCCCTCTTGATTCAAAAAGTCAATAGGGTCCAAGGCTTATTTTTTATCCTGTTGCCGTGGCAACGACAAACGCTCCTCATTCATTGCAAATGAACACCTCACACAAACATCAAACCAGCCTCGGCCGTTTCACCGATTCCCCTCAAAATTGATCCACATTATCTCAACACATGTACCATCAAAATGACTTCAGGGAATTTGGATCAGTGAAACGTTGTTTGAGCAGCGGAGCGCCAAAAAGTGGCGTAATTTTTTTCCGTTTTTGACAATAGAAAATTTGCTTCCGTTTGCACAAACAAAGTCTGATTTGCACAAAACTTTAATCCATGGTTCAACTCTTGGGTCTAGGTCATTTGAAAGTAAAAATTTTGAAATTGGCTCTATAGCGCCACCTACAACAGCCAATTTAAAAATGCCTATGGGAGGGGTTTGAGGTCAAAATTGTCATAGAAGCCATGTAATTTGGTACACATGTTCCTCAAGTCAAGACATGGAAAAAATGTTATTATGGCTAAGCCCTCTGACAAACAGGAAGCCCATAAATTTCACTGCAAAATGGAAAAATGAAAACCAATCATTTTCATACATGTCGGTTGGAAAGCGACTCCTCCTCGGCCGTTTCACCGATTGGCCTCAAAATTGCTCCAAATCATCTCAACACATTTACCTTCAAAATGACTTCAGGGAATTTTGATCAGTGAAACGTTGTTTGAGCAGCGGAGCGGCAAAATGTGAGGTTTTTTGCTGCCGTTTTTGACAACATTAATTTTTTTCCTGTTTGCACAAACAAAGTCTGATTTGCATCAAACTTGAATCCATTGTTCAACTCCAGGGTTTAGGTCAGGTGAAAGTGAAATATTTGAAATTGGCCCATTAGCGCCCCCTACAGACTGAGTCAAAGTTTACATGGGGAGCCAAACCAGCTCTACTTATCAATATTCATTACAATTTGACTAACAATCTTCTGTGGCTACGGAAACAAATCATCACACGGTGGCGCCACCTCCTTTGAGCGGTGCTGCGTGGTACGGTGTGGTGCGGCGTAGTGCGGGGCAGTGTGCGGGCGTTGTGGAGCGGCGCGTTGCGGCTTGGTGCGGGGCGGCGTGATGCGGGACGGCGTGGTGCGGGGTGGCGTGGTGCGGGGTGGCTTGGTGCGGGGAGTGTGCGCGGGTGGGGAGTCGCGCGGTGCGGCGAGGGCCGTTCGACGCCGCTTGCGGCTTTAATTTATTTATTTCTTTCTTTTTTCTTCTGCACTTTGAGCCTTAATTTGACCCCCTGAATATGCATGAAAAGTTGTTAATTTTGGCCCAAAAATCAGACCTGGCGAAAAATTTGATATTTTGGTGTTTATTTTTATGGGACTCAAAAAATGACAGAACAGCGCCACCTACAACAGCCAAAATAATACCCCTATGGGACTTTTCGGAGGTCAAGTTTGTCGTAGAAATATGAGATTTGGTACACATGTTCCTCAAGTCAAGACAAGAAAAAAATATTATTATGGCCCCGCCCTCTGACAAACAGGAAGCCCATAAATCTCACTGCAAAATGGAAAAATGAACAGCAAAAGTTTTCATACATGTCGGTTGGAAAGCGACTCCTCCTCGGCCGTTTCACCGATTCGCATCAAATTTGCTCCACATCATCTCAACACATGTACCTTCAAAATGACCTCAGGGATTTTTGATCAGTGAAACATTGTTCGAGCAGTGGAGCGGCAAAATGTGACCTTTTTTTGGCCGTTTTTGACAACATTAAATTTGCTCCCGTTTGCACAAACAAAGTCTGATTTGCACAAAACTTTAATACATTGTTCAACTCTAGGGTCTAGGTAGTTTGAAAGTGAATTAATTCAAATTGACACATTAGCGCCCCCTACAGACTATTTCAAAGTTTTAGATGGGCATTTTCAAATTTAGTTCTTTCAAAATGTTTGAAATTTTGCACATAAATCTGTTTTGCCCTCTTGATTCAAAAAGTCAACAGGGTCCAAGCCTTATTTTTTACCCTGTTGCCGTGGCGACGACAAACGCTCCCCATTCATTGCAAATGTACACCTCACACAAACATCAAACCAGCCTCGGCCGTTTCACCGATTCACCTCAAAATCGCTCCACATTATCTCAACACATTTGCCTTCAAAATGACTTCAGGGAATTTTGATCAGTGAAACGTTGTTTGAGCAGCAGAGCGCCAAAAAGTGGCGTATTTTTTTCAGTTTTTGACAAAAGAAAAATTGCTTCCGTTTGCACAAACAAAGTCTGATTTGCACAAAACTTGAATCCATGGTTTAACTCTTGGGTCTAGGTAATTTGAAAGTTAGAATTTTGAAATTGGCTCTATAGCGCCACCTACAACAGCCAATTTAAAAATGCCTATGGGAGGGGTTCGAGGTCAACATTTTCGTAGAACCATGTAATTTGGACACATGTTCCGCAAGTCAAGACATGGAAAAAATTTAATTATGACTAATCCCTCCGACAAACAGGAAGCCCATAAATTTCACTGCAAAATGGAAAAATGAAAACCAATCATTCTCATACACTTCGGTTGGAAAGCGACTCCTCCTCGGCCGTTTCACTGATTGGCCTCAAAATTGTTACAAATCATCTCAACACATTTACCTTCAAAATGACTTCAGGGATTTTTGATCAGTAAAACGTTGTTTGTGCAGCGGAGCGGCCAAATGTGAGGGTTTTTTTGGCCGTTTTTGACAACATACATTTCTTCCCCGTTTGCACAAACAAAGACTGATTTGCATTAAACTTGAATCCATTGTTCAACTCCAGGGTTTAGGTCAGGTGAAAGTGAAATATTTGAAATTGGCCCATTAGCGCCCCCTAAAGACTGAGTCAAAGTTTACATGGGGAGCCAAACCAGCTCTACTTATCATATTCATTACAATTTGACTAACAATCTTCTATGGCTACGGGAACAAATCATCACACAACGGCGCCACCTCCTTTGAGCGGTGCTGCGTGGTACGGTGTGGTGCGGCGTAGTGCGGGGCGTTGTGGAGCGGCGCATTGCGGCTTGGTGCGGGGCGGCGTGAGGCGGGACAGCGTGGTGCAGGGTGGCGTGGTGCGGGGTGGCTTGGTGCGGGGTGGCTTGGTGCAGGCCGGCGTGGAACGGGGTGGTGCGCGCGGTGCGGGGGTCGCGCGGTGCGGCGAGGGCCGTTCGACGCCGCTTGCGGCTTTAATTTATTTATTTCTTTCTTTCTTTCTTTCTTTTTTCTTCTGCACTTTGAGCCTTAATTTGACCCCCTGAATATGCATGAAAAGTTGTTAAATTTTGCCCAAAAATCAGACCTGGCGAAAAATTTGATATTTTGGTGTTTATTTTAATGGGACTCAAAAAATGCCAGAACAGCGCCACCTACAACAGCCAAAATAATACCCCTATGGGAGTTCTGAAGATGAAGTTTGTTGTAGAGTCATGAAATTCGGTACACATGTTCCTCAAGTCAAGACAAGAAAAAAATATTATTATGGCTCCGCCCTCTGACAAACAGGAAGCCCATAAATGTCACTGCAAAATGGAAAAATGAACAGCAAAAGTTTTCATACATGTCGGTTGGAAAGCGACTCCTCCTCGGCCGTTTCACCGATTCGCCTCAAAATCGCTCCACATCATCTCAACACATGTACCTTCAAAATGACCTCGGGGATTTTTGATCAGTGAAACATTGTTCGAGCAGCGGAGCGGCAAAATGTGACCTTTTTTTGGCCGTTTTTGACAACATTAAATTTGCTCCCGTTTGCACAAACAAAGTCTGATTTTCACAAAACTTTAATACATTGTTCAACTCTAGGGTCTAGGTCATTTGAAAGTTAAATGATTCAAATTGACACATTAGCGCCCCCTACAGACTATTTCAAAGTTTTAAATGGGCATTTTCAAATTTAGTTTTTTCAAAATGTTTGAAATTTTGCACATACATCTGTTTTGCCCTCTTGATTCAAAAAGTCAATTGGGTCCAAGGCTTATTTTTTACCCTGTTGCCGTGGCGACGACAAACGCTCCCCATTCATTGCAAATATACACCTCACACAAACATCAAACCAGCCTCGGCCGTTTCACCGATTCGCCTCAAAATCGCTCCACATCATCTCAACACATGTACCATCAAAATGACTTCAGGGAATTTTGATCAGTGAAACGTTGTTTGAGCAGCGGAGCGCCAAAAAGTGGCGTATTTTTTTTCAGTTTTTGACCATAGAAAAATTGCTTCCGTTTCCACAAACAAAGTCTGATTTGCACAAAACTTGAATCCATGGTTCAACTCTTGGGTCTAGGTCATTTGAAAGTTAAAATTCTGAAATTGGCTCTATAGCGCCACCTACAACAGCCATATTAAAAATGCCTATGGGAGGGGTTTGAGGTCAAAATTGTCGTAGAACCATGTAATTTGGAACACATGTTCCTTAAGTCAAGACATGGGAAAAATGTTATTATGGCTAAGCCCCCTGACAAACAGGAAGCCCATAAATTTCATTGCAAAATGGAAAAATGAAAACCAATCATTTTCATAAACGTTGGTTGGAAAGCGACTCCTCCTCGGCCGTTTCACCGATTGGCCTCAAAATTGTTCCAAATCATCTCAACACATTTACCTTCATAATTACTTCAGGGAATTTTAATCAGTCAAACGTTGTTTGAGAAGCGGAACGGCAAAATGTGAGGGTTTTTTGGCTGTTTTTGACAACATAAATTTTTTCCCCGTTTGCACAAACAAAGACTGATTTGCATTAAACTTGAATCCATTGTTCAACTCCAGGGTTTAGGTCAGGTGAAAGTGAAATATTTGAAATTGGCCCATTAGCGCCCCCTACAGACTGATTCAAAGTTTACATGGGGAGCCAAACCAGCTCTAATTATCATATTCATTACAATTTGACTAAGTTCTTCTATGGCTACGGGAACCAATCATCACACGGCGGCGTCACATCCTATGCGCGGTGCTACGTGGTACGGTGTGGTGCGGCGTAGTGCGGGGCGTTGTGGAGCGGTGCGTTGCGGCTTGGTGCGGGGCGGCTTGGTGCGGGACGGCGTGGTGCGGGGTGGCTTGGTGCGGGGCGGCGTGGAAAGGGGTGGTGCGCGCGGTGCGGGGAGTCGCGCGGTGCGGCGAGGGCCGTTCGACGCCGCTTGCGGCTTTATTTTTTATTTTTGCTGCTACTGGACACCTGAATCTCTCCTACGGGGATCAATAAAGTATCTATCTATTGATTAAGTCAACGAGAGGAGATGAGATTAAGATTAACATGAGATGGAAAAAAAACTTGTATATTTGAGTGGGATCGAGTTGGACTGAAGCCACTGGAGAAAATTTTGGTAGTTTTTTTTATATACACACAAATTATACTTTTTATTTGCATAGGAAATATAGATATGTATGCATCTATGTGTTTTTATTAGGTACTTTGTAATTTTGTTGTTTTCCCATTGAGATTTCATGTCACCGTGTGTATGTGTGAGAGGATGTGTGTGTGTTTTATATGAATGCAATGTAACTATATGTAAGATAAGATAGACTTTGTTGACCTCACACTGGACAAATTTAGTGGCACAGTGGCTTAAATAGAATCAATCAGGGTGTGCAAAAAGACAATAAAACGTGCAAATGTATACAAGCATGTAATGAGTATGATTAGAGCCCTTGGAAGAACAGCCACTGCACCTCAGTGACTAATGGGGATCTTAATTAACTAAACTAAACAGAAAAAAATTGACACAAGAACTCAAAACTTAAATCAAAAACATCCAGCGCTTCAACTTCTGGGAAAAGCCTCTTCACAATAAGATAATCATTTGCGACTAAGAAAATAAACAGGGTTCTCACAATATATCCAGTCAAATCATTAGTCTAGTCCAGTGTAGTGGTTTGAAATGACAAAAACTCTATTGATAAAAAATGTATTCGTCTACTGCTTATCATCGTAAGGTCCTGAAAACAATTCCAAGTCCACCCTTAATCCAATTGGCAGAAGAGTATTTCCAATTAGTCGCTGGTCAAAACAATACTGTACCTTTATGTAGAGACAGTAGCCTATTGTTGAGAATAATCCACAACAATTTAACTGGAATTCCCCCAAAATAATATTATTGCTTTATTCCAGTCATTCATAATTCACTTCATAGCAAACATCGGCGGAGGTCTGACTTCCTGTCTGAGAAAGTGGGATAGAAATGGATCTGTGATATTTTAGACCCCATCTCTGTATGCACATAAACAGTCTTATCCTGTCTATGCAAAAAGACTCCAACAAAAAGAGTCCAATCGTGAAAACAAACTGCTTTGAAGAGATGAAATCCAACCTGGCGTTTCCTTTTTGGCCTTCCTGCTTCCCTGCCTGCCTGACTGGGGTATTTTTATCCAATGGTTCAAATTCAAGCTCGCGGATCAAGGCGAAGGATTTACATTGATGTCCGTGCCAATTCTGTATCAGTGAGTTTCTTAGTGAGACACATGGTAGTTGTTAGCTATTAGCAGGTAGCGATTATTGTAAACAAATGCCGATCAAGTGCTGGACTTGGACATAGTGTCGAGACGAGGCCTGGGTTTAATTTGAGAGATCAAGAAGCAGACGGCTAATTTCCATGGACGCTCCAGACAGAACATATGGGAGAATGTTATCGCCAAGGCAGCTATGCTAGTTCATGTCAATTCAATGTATTTTTTGTGTAGGGCTAAATCTCAACAGTAGTTTTCTCGATTTGCCAACAGAATCAAACAGTTCAAACACAGGAAATGCAATGATAAAAAACGCCATTGGTTCATAAGAGGCAGATGACCATGAACAATGTCCATAAATGTTGGCTGTGTACATTCTTTTTGAGATCAACTGGGTTTAGCTAATTGAAGTTAGTGTTAATCAGTGTGGGCAGGTCCCAGCTCCAAAAGGTCCATGAGCATGTGCACTGACATGCTTGCAATCTCACTCCTTGCCGGTGGGGGTGTACCTGGAAAGAGAATTACCCAATGCTTTTGTACGGAGTCTTCTTTCCTCTCAAAAACGGCTTTACAGGATGGTCCAAAAGTCGGCTCTTGGCCAAACGCTACATTCAAGATGTGTGTCAATGCTGAGGGGAGTATTGACACGCATCTGGAATCCGCTGCGGACTTCAGAATGCGCCCCTTTAATGAATGGGGCAAGTGCCGCTAACGCGTGCGCACATTTTCAGGCCCCGTGGCCATTTTGAAAAAGCCCTACAGAAGGCAAAAGTGATGACACATTAGTTTAAACTGCGGAGATAGCAGTTACTACGTCCGTTAATATTTACAGTCTATGGTGTTATATAATAGCAATTATTTCATGGCTAGTTTTATGCTAACATTGAACATACATGATGATACATGGTACATCTCCACCATCATGAATTTTCCTCATAAATCCATCCAAATTCCAATCCAATGTGAGTGAAACATTGCTTTGCATCATTCCAGACACACTCAATCACAGCGCGCTGATAATCCACCCATTAAGGTAAAATGAATGGCTCTTTCATTCGCTCAAGTGGGCCCCCTTTTGAAATTTGAAATGCCAAACTGAAACCATGTGTAATTTTTTTGTGGGCATTGCATTTTTTTGTGGAGCAGAACAAGTGAGCTGCAACCATAAGCAGAGGGGAGATTACAGTCTGTTTGTGGCTTTTGTTCCACGCAGCCACGCCAGCCTAAAACAATCAGCACACAAGTTATTTTTTGCTTTTTACAGGCCCTCACTTTGGCCAAATGCTGAGGTCATGGTTTGAACTTGTGATGTCTCCACTGCCAGCGCCAAAATTGCGGCTGGTGAGCATTTGAGTCATCAGAAAGTTGCTAGTTGTGATCGTGGAGAGGAGGAGGAGGAGCAACGAATGTAGTGAAATGTCTTCAAGTAAACCCTATAATGTTGACTCTAAATATAATGTGAGGAGAGTGACTTTGTGGCGGTGCAGCAGGAATGTGGAAGTCTGTGCACTTTTTAAAGGGGACATTGTTTTCTCTTGTCACTTGAGCGATTGATGCATGTTTGAGTGTTATAGATTAACCCTCAAACATAGATCACAATAATAATTTAGGAGGTGCAGTGACAGTGGCTCAGTTGGTAGAGCAATGGCCTTTGGGCCTGAAGGTTCTGGGTTCGAGCCCACCATGAGACCTACCTCACGACTCCTACTGATGACTGCTGTATTTGACCCATACTTCCAAAACCACACGGTCAGAAAACCATTTTACTTTATCAGACTTGAGTCAATAATCTGGACATTCACACGGTTTTTGAGGGCCGTATTTAGCTTCAAAATGTTATTATTTCCAGACTGATTCACACACAGCGACATTAGCGCCATATATGTGACAGTATATACAAATATATACATTGCAAAGGATTGGGCTTTACCATAGGGTATAGCATGAACCAGAAGTTGGCTGGATGATGCTGTGAATGTGCCTCAATGGCTACTTTGTGTTAGCAATGCAGTGGTTGCATTTTGCTAGGAGATGCTAAAAATAGCTTATATGGAATTTAGACTCCTCAACACCACTCTTTTTGATATACTGTGATTATTTATTATTTTATCGCCTTGTGAGATTGCTTAACAAAACAAGAAAGAATCACTTTGAAATACCTATATGAACTGTGCTACACAATAAAACTTGCCTTCAACAACTTCTCATCCACAAATTACGTAAAAAAACACTGATTTTCCAGGTCCAATCTAAAACTAATTGTTATTGTTAGCATAATGTTGGCTAATCATCAATCAAAATCAAGCCATTTCCCAGTTTTCTTTGATTTTTTTATTTTAAACAAATCAGCAGCAGCTTTGACCTCAAAAGTGAGAAATGATGTTACACCTCTCTCCCGCCAACTAATGCAGCCAGTTATAAAACAGTTATTGCAAATTACCGTAAAAGTGCTTGCGTATTCTGTACACTGCCTTGCCTTACACCCTGCCCTTTCATTATCTTTTATAAGGGCACGCCAAATCAACGCTTTTCAAACCCAAGTGCGAGAGCCCATAGTTAGCGCTGTTAGCGGCTGGCAGGAGCGCTAAGGTGGCCGCGGTAATGGGGTTTTTATGGAGGCTGTTGGAGGTCACAGCAGCAGGAGACGGAGAATTTATATTGGAAGTCCAGGTCACAACAGTGGAAGTACTTCAAAAGCTTCTGTGTTTCACCCATTTGACACGAATACAAGAAAACAGGAGCCACAATCCAGAAATGAATCCATATATTTTTAGAATCACTCATGTGTCTTAATGTTTACGGGACTCAAAAACTACCTTATCAAGGCACTTTAGTTTAAAGTCAAAACCGTTCAAACAAACTTCACCTTTTATAGCAATTGGGGTTGTATTTTGTTAAAGAACTAACGACTATTTAGTTATTAAACGTATAACCTAACCTAACTTAACCTAAAAAATGTCAAATCTATCTGGATTGTTATGTCACATTATCTTTACCATGTATTTAATGTATTTTCTTGTAATGTTATTTTACCAATAACGTAATGGCCTTGACCTTGGAATATCTACGTATGGAAACCATGGCCTAGATTTTTGCATGGATTTGGGAGCCAATCACAGAACATGGAGGGACAGCGAGACGAGGATGACTCACTATTGGGCAGAATTGAATTAAACATGACAGCAGTAAGTATAAAGCCATCTTCCCTCATGTTGAACAAATGTGAATGCAATAATAGTTCGTCCTCATTGTTTATAAATAATGTCTTTTTTCTCGGGTTGAATTGATACGATAGGCAAACTTACACATTCAAACTTCTATGAAAGACATTCGTAATGCCCATTAAACGGCTAGGGGCTATTGTAAACCACACCTAGTTCCCAGTCTAACGTTTGCCAGGCCAAGCTGACCTGGGAACGCCTTAGGATTCCCCTTGAGAAGCCAAAAGAAGTGTGCATGGAGAAAGAAGTCTGGGAATCTCCAAACTCAGCCTCCATGAGCGGGACTGGATAAAATGGGAGAATATTAACAGAGAGATGGATAGTTCCTTCTCGCGGCATCATCAGACTATATCATTATCATTATTATATAGAAAAATATCATATTCAATAAACTAAATACACTTGGTTTGGTGCGTGTTTGACAAATCTAGATCCCAGGATCATAATTCCTTTTTTAAAAGTGTGCACAGAGTTTGGTGTTAGTAAAGAAATTGCCCTGGATAATGTCACCAAATGAGTTCTCCTGTTTCATTAGAGAAGGTCTGCTGCGATTTTATTAGTCTTTGGTTCAATACATATATTTACTGAGCTCAAAGGCAAGCAGTAAAACACTACTTACATATGGACCAGTATATGAGAAATGGCATACATGATTATCCCACAACATTTTACAAAGTATAATGGGGTGTTAGCCATTCCGAATGAGGAAAACAGATGGTAGCAGATTTTAATAGACCCCATGCTAATCCCGAAGGAAATTATGCATATAAAGTACATAATCCCGATGGTAATAAAAAGGAAAAAGGGTAAACGTAAAACAAAGGAAAGTAAAAAAAAAAAAAACATGTCTTTTCACTTTATATGTCAAGTATCTTACAGCTTGACTTTTAATATCAAGATAAAGAGATCCTTTAGCCATCCCAGAGTTGCAAAATTTCACTGTTGCATCACCAGTTCCAGGGCGTAAAATGTCTATCTTTAGCATAATAAAGTAGTAATTAAAACATCTCCATCTTTAGTATAATAAAGAAGTGTAAAATCGCTAGCTTTAGCATAACAAAGAAGCAAGTGTAAAATTGTTATCTTTAGCATAATAAAGAAGCAATTATAACATCTCTATCTTTAGTATAATAAAGAAGTGTTAAATTGCTAGCTTTAGCGTAATAAAAGAAGCAAGTGTAAAATTGCTAGCTTTAGCACAATAAAGAAACAAGTGTAAAATAGCTAGCTTTAGCATAATAAAAAGCAACTGGAAAAACCTTAGCTTTAGCATAATAAAGAAGCAAGTGTAAAATCGTTAGCTTTAGCATAGTAAAGAAGCAAGTGTAAAATCGCTGGATTTAGCATAATAAGTATAAAATCTGTAACATTAGCATAATAAAGACGCAATAAAGATATGACAACAAATGTGCATGTAATTTAGGATATCTTGAAATACTAAACCCAAATCAAGGTTGCATGATTTTGTAGTTAATAAACAAGACAACTCTCACTCTATCTTGAAATTAAAGTTTAATACGGTTTACTTCCTGAACATTGACAATACCAACTACACACCAAAAGTGTAGTGTTTTCAAACTTCATTCTGCGGTTTTCTATATCTGCTGTTCCTTGTGCCATTTTCAGACTTTGCATATAAATCCTTTCATATAAAATAACAGGAAGACTTGTGGTTTTCTTCTGGCTCCCACTGATCCGTCCATTTCTTTCCCCGCTGGTGAAAGAAGCGCATTTCAAACTGAATCAATCTCACAAGACAAACTTTAAAGTGACTCGCTCCAGTCTGCAATACAGCATATGAAAGTTAGAGATTTTATACATGTTTCTTTATTTTGCTAAAGCTAGAAATGTTATACTTGCTTCTTTATTATGCCAAAGCTAGCTATTTTACACTTGTTTTATTTTGTTCTGCTAATGCTAGAAATGTTATACTTGCTTCTTTATTATGCTAAAGTTTAATCTAGTATAGATTTATTGTTAATTTATCTTGTGCTGTGTGCTCCTCATTCCTACTGTTCTGTAACTGGTGATACAACACTGAAATTTCCCCACAGTGGGATAAAAAAAACGATCTCTTAATCTGAGACTACAGGGATCATATAGGTTATAATACAATTGTAAATCTAAATTCATTATTAAGTCCCGTTGTATCGCTCTGCATAATAATTTAGTTCCAACCCCCTCACACAACACACCTCGCACTGACTCAAGCAAGACACAGGCCCAAACAGTCTCTGACCCCACACTTCTCTCCTATCACTGCTCATGCCACTTAAGCAGGCAAACATACAGTACATGCATCGCTGTAAAACAAGCGTGTAAATGACAAGGGAATTAGACAAACGTGTAAACATTGGATTTGGCATGGCTTTTCAGTTACAGATGTTGCTTTTAGTGACAGATGTTGCACAGAGTCATTACTACTGCTCGCAACTTCTCGCTGGTTTTTGAAATCTCGTCCGAATGCTTAAAAGAAGGGGACGGGGTCTTTGTTTCGAGGCACCTGACCTAGTTTCGGTGGAGAATGCAAGCGCACGTTTAGACCATTGTTTATACAAGTGTGAGAAAGGGAGAACGGTGGAGTTAGGAGCATTAGCAGTATATGTGTGTGTGTGTGTGTGTGTGTGTGTGTGTGTGTGTGTGTGTGTGTGTGTGTGTGTGTGTGTGTGTGTGTGTGTGTGTGTGTGTGTGTGTGTGTGTTCTCTGGTGCCATGTGCTGTCCAGCTGTGGGAAAGCAGTGGTACAATGAGAATACAGACATCCTTCTTGCAGGCTTTTCATTCAGATCGACTACAGGCGCCGGGGTTTTTCAAAAAGGAAAGGTCAGAATTGGCCTGAGAACGCCTGGTAATTAAAGCCATAAGTCAAGACCGGCTTTAGAAAATACGCAGAGAAAAAAGTTAAAAGGCCAAGGTGAAGTGTTTGCGACTTTTACAAAGCCGGTTTTCGCACTTAACTAGAACATTTGTTAGAAGAGACTGTACATTTCAAGTTGAGAGTGGGTTTGTGAGGCCTCGAAAGCTTGGTACGTCTTTTGTTTAAGACATCAAATGCTTCTGACTTCTGCCTGACGTACAAAAACAATGTTACGTACAAACTATTTTGGCAACATCAGCAGAAATCATGGT